GTGCTTTTCACTCCACTCCATTTATTCCCTTTATAAACTTATACACCTCTATTAGGTGCCCTCAACCTTCACTGCTCCAAGGATCCTCCAACATCGGCAACATCCTGGTAAATCTTAACAAATGCAGACATACGCTATCTCTCAAAATTGTAATAACTGTCCCACCACTGAGATTAAACTGACTGGTCTGTTATTTTTTGGTCTGTCCCTTCCTCCCTTTTTTTAATAAATGGGACAATGTTAGCAGTTCTCCAGTCCTCATTCCTATAACGTGGTGACCAGAAAGACAAGTATTCCAAATGCCTTAACCACATTTTTGCCTGCCCTGCTACCTACAGGAATCCGTGGATACACACACCAAGATCCCTCTGATCTTCAGTGTTCCCCAGGGTTCTACCATTCGTAATGCAAGGGATATCACTATCTCACACTTTTCCAGACTGAATTCCATTTGCTACTGTTCTGCCCAGTCGATCAGTCCATTGATATCCTCTTGCTGTTTACAGCTCCCTCCTCAGTATTAATCACTCTCCTAACTTTCATCCCTTCTGCAAACTTCTTGGTCATACCTACTACATCTATCACCTAATGATGAATCTACACAAACATCAAGGACCGTAGCACCGAGCCCTGAGGAACCTCACTGGAAATAAACCTTCAATCACAGAAACATTTCTCTTCCCTTACCCTGTAATTCCTGTAACTTAACCAATTTTGGATCCAACATGCCACCTTGCCTTGGACTCCATGGATTCTTAATTTCTTGATCAGTTAAGTCATATAGATTACTTTAAATGCATTACCCTCATTAACACTCCTGGTTACTTCCTCAAAAAATTCAAAACTGTCAAACACAACCTTCCTTTCATAAATCTATGCTCATTAATCAATGTCTCTGAGAGCAGATATATTCTGTCCCTCAATTCTTGTAACTGCCTCACCACCAAGGTTAAACTGATCAGCCTGTCATTTCGTGGTCTATTAAAAACAAGGAAGAGATAATGGGACAATTTAGCAGTTCTTCAGTCCTCAAACACCTCAACTACACTCAGACAAGATTTGAAAATTACTGCCAGTGTCCCCAAACCCACGTCGCCCACTTCCCTCAATAGCTTGGGATACATTTCATCCAGATCTGCAGACGTATCCCCACTTTTAAGACTGTTAAACCCCCTTCTTTCTATCAACTTCAATTTCTTCTGATAGTTCACTGTCTTCCACCCTGATGTCTATACTTGAGTCATTCTTTTCCACTGGGAATACTGTTGCAAAGTGTTCAGAGAGAATTGGGCCCATCTCTTCCAAATCCATACAAGGAAAACTTCTGTGGTATCTAATGGGCTTATTTTCTTGCTTTTTATTATTTTTTGGAAATCCTTTGGATTTTCTTTATTCTAAATGCCTGAACTTTCTTGGTCTCCTTTTTAAGTTCTCCCATGCACTTCTTATACTCCTCTAGAGACTCTTCCACACTGAGCCCTTGGTATCTGCCATAAGCTTCATATTTTTTCTTAATGTGGAGATGTCAATGTTGGACTGGGGTGGACAAAGTCAGAAGTCACATGACATCAGGTTATAGTCCTACAGATTTATTTGAAATCACAAGATTTCATGTTTTGAAGTCACCCGACGAAGGAGAAGCACTCCAAAAGTTTGTCATTTTTCATTAATCCTAAGCATTATGTCCCTTGACCCCATCCTTGTCTTTACAGAAAGATAGGTTTCTCCTGTTCTCTTACTATTTCCTCCTTGAATGCCAAATCATATCTTATCATAGTAAACCACATGATAAATAGAAGATAATACACCATGATCTCATAACCAAATACAAATCATCACCCTTTTGATTGTTTGAAAAGACAGCTGTCAGTGGCTTCAGGCAACTCCACCCCCTGCTCTGGATTACAATACAATCAAAGCACCTTCTTGTTACCTAGTTGTAGTGTCCCTACCCCAGGACCAGGATGCCTGCGTACAAGTCCCACTTGCTCCAGAGGTGTGCAATACATCTCCGAATAGGGTGATTCAAAAAAATACATTAAATAAAAGAAAATTGAAGTTTGAAGAACATGAATGGTGAACAATACAAGGAAACAATCAGCAATGACCTTGACCGCCCATAATAAGAAATATCAAGTTTTATGGCTTCTGTGCTCCTTCATTGATCCTGCCAATTTGTATGAACATGAATACAGGCAAACTTTAAATACATTTCATTGCCACGTACATCTTTATCAGAGGCTTTATCTTTATCAGCAGGAATCTCTGGCCTCTTTTTTTTTCTCTCTCTCTCTCTCTCTCTCTCTCTGGGGCTCTTTGGCCTTGTGGCTGCAGTCTTCAACATGTCCAGGAGCAAATAGTCAATGTATTTTGGCGTGCACCAAAAACATCAGGAGGGTAGCACTTGTTTGCTTTCAATTCTACTCATTAGAGTTCTGAAGAAACATATACAATGTCAGAACAAAATATTTAAGTAATCCAGTGAGTTTCAGAAAATCATTATACAGATTCTAAACTGAATTTTTCTAATTTGTAAAATTAGAATATTATGTACTTATATTAAACTAAAACATTAATTCCGAGAAATCATGGGATAACAGCAAAACCATTCACAATTAACATTTTGATTCTTAAGAATAGCCCATATAAATAGCAGGGAGGCAATTAAATACATACAAACAAGAACATTAGCTTTCTGAAGAATATGACAGGCACTGGATGCTGCACAACGCACCTACATGTATCTTCTCGATTATATAAACAGATACTTTTATTTTGCAGTCAGGTCTATACAAAAGTATCCTAAACCTCCCAAACACAAACATAAAATCTGGAATTAAAACAAGTTTGTCACAATTTCTGAATATATGTTTCAAAGTACACAATTATGTATTACAATGGTAATTTATTTGCCTTGCAGCATTTATTTTTGAAATCACGGAAGTAAAATTGCAATAGTGCACACAGCTGGCCTTTTTAACAAAATAGAGTGGTAGTGAAATAAAGTTGCTTGCATTGTGCCCTACAGAGGAGAAACTGTAGGGTCTATAATTAACTGTCACTCACCCTCATGGTTGATTTCTAATACCCTTTATGCTTACTTTGTTAGCCACTCAGTAGCAAAATACTCATGTGACACCTAAAAATGGACAGTAAACGTACCAACATCTTCCAAGAGAAAATACAAAGTTTTAAAAAGCAATGCAAATAGTATCACTCAATATTTTCAGATGTTGTGAGCTTTTAATGGTAAGAGATTGAGAAGCGGATTGTTATTTAATAAGTGGGTATTAACAAAGTGCTGATTATGCGTATGATTTTAGGCACTCATAATAAAAACAAATTTAGAAAGTAGGCCATTCAGTTCCTCAAACCTATTCCATCCTTCTACTTTATTCGTAGTTCATCTGTACCTCAGTTGTAATTCTGACCTGAGCTCCCTATCATTTGTCTCAATTAACTTGTAATCCATATTCTATATTATCAGCTAATTGTATGCGTAAGTACATACTTGGCTCTTTTCAACAGACTGTAAAAAAAAGTGCCATGGTCTGTCAATGATATCCTGTTACCAAAAAAGAAGTTTAAAATTCATTCAGATGTATCAGTACAGGATAGAAAATGGCACTCCAAAAGCTTGCCATTTCAAATAAACTTGTTGGATTATAACCTGGTGACGTGTGACTTCTGACTTTGCCCACACCAGTCGAACACTGGCACCACCACATCATGCCTTACATTATCCCACATTATGCTCCATCTACCATGACCTTGCCATTCATTAAGTTTCAACAAAAATCCTCTTCTACATGTTCCTCACACAGTCTCACTTAGCTTTGCATCACACACAAATTTGGAAATATTACATTTGGTCCCACCTCCAAAAAACAAAATCACCACGTTTATGACTTGGTGTCAATCTCCTATCATTTCATCCAGAGCTGGTTCAGACAGCATCCTCCTGCACTCTAATAATTGTGATTCTGCAATCATGAATGCCTAAAATCTGAAGGAATTCATACGTACTGAAATATCTTATTTTGTGTTCCTTTTCCTCTTTCAGATATTGACAGACCCATACAACACCAACATTTGTTTCTAAAACAAAGGTTACATGGTGTGAATTCTGTCCAGCAAAGGACAGTACCAAAGTGTAAAAATGTAATATTTCAAACAAATCAAGACAGGGCAAAAGCATTATCTGCATGGACAAAATACTATTTTAGGCATTTACATTATATATCATTGCAAGAGATTGCACATAAGCTTTATAAAAACTGGTCTGGCATTGGTTGCTGTCGTCAAGAGGATTGCTGTGTCAGTATGGAGTTTCAGCAGCTGGCCATGTAATCTTTAGATGTCAGTAAAATACTGACACAGCTCCTTTGGTTTTGTATACTTTATGAGGGCAAGGTATTTAGATATTACAAATGAGATGCCAAGTTTCCATTGCATTCCTTGAAGAACATAAGTCGCAAATTTTAGATTTCCTTTTTAATATATTACTTTTTCCTCTGCTAATACGTGTTTTTTTTAAACTATAGATATACGTAGTACTAACATCAATAGCACTTCACTGGAAATGTTTAGTAGCAGTAAAATAAAGGAAAAATAAGTGCAACTCAAGGCTACCGCCGTACTTACAAGAACATGCGTTAAACTCTCCACAGCCATTCTGCACGTCAATCATTAGTCACTCCAAATACGGCAACAGATTTGTTTTCCTTCAGTATTTTGAAAGATTCAGTTATCAAACCACACAAAAACTATAACTAATTTGCAGAAAAGACCTTAACAGGCCAGAACAGTTCACATTAGTCAGATCACCATCTTATAATTTAATAACAAAGCAGTTAAGTTTCCACCCTTGTCCCACCGGAACAATTCAGCTGCTCTTGCAGGCACTCACGGCCTAATAGGACTCTCGTCAGACCAAATGAAATGGCCACACATTTAACGACGTCTTGTAAAATTTTGAGCTTGTTTTAGTAAAAACTCACCCGTCTTTTCAGGGTCGTAACCAACAACCACAAAGTAATCGGCCAATCTCGCCATTTTTCGTGAATTCAGGGTTCGAAACAGAGAAACTCAACATTTTTCATCCTGGTAAAGCACAGCCATGTTGAAATCGTAGCCCCCCGCCCCCCACTAAGACAGTGCGCGTGCGCTGACAGGCCTGACCCTGATTGGGCGGCGGCCTGGCTTTACAGGCAGCGTGAGCTCGCGGAGTATAGGAGGTGTGAGGGGGAACAATTGGAGTCGCGAGAAGTAAGGAGGGGGAAACAGTCAGAGGGTCTCGGCCCGAAACGTCAGCCTTTCTGCTCCTATGATACTGCTTGGCCTGCTGTGTTCATCCAGCTCTACACCTTGTTGTCTCGGAAACAGTCAGAGCCGCGAGGAGTGGCGGGGGCGGGGAGCAATCAGAGCCGAGAGGGGGGAATAATAAGAGCCGCGAGGAGGGAAGGGTGGAAACAATCAGAGCCGCGAGGAGTCGGGGCAAAGAACAATTAAAGCCGGGTCAGCCAGCGGCATTCTTATCAAGTCAAGTCGCTTCTCGAAACCAGGGTCTTGGGATGTACATTTACTGTTCCATTTCCAGAAGCGCGTTGAGAACCGTTCAGATCTCCACAGAGTTTCTTTCTCTTTCCTATTCGAGGGATGGGACGAAGCCGTTCGAGGTGATGTCCGCTGGATGCGCGCTTGTTCTTGTTATCCTCGTTACTGCTGCAACTCGAAATGCTTCGTTATATGTAGCTTCAGGTCGGGCAACAGAATCAACAACTTAAAGCGATTGGAGCGAATGTAATTCGAAACATCCAAGCTGATAGTCTTGGAAAGACTACAACCAGAATAATAGTGTCAAATTTGTGATTTTCAATAAAATCAAACATTGCAAATCGAAGAAACGGAACACAATAAAATCAAAACTTGTGGCTTAAAACCAACAGGTAAATTGATATGAATCCAAGCATAGTTGCATTCTACGGTAGTCGGCTAGTATGCTGCGAATATTCTGCAAGAGAGAAGGCTATAGTTCAACTCAGCAACGTAAGGAACAGAAGCAAAAAATGCTGGAATCTTTGAGGACAGAATCCATGGGAAGGATAAATAATTCCTGTGTAGCCCTTCATCACTTCTGAATAAGGGTCAATATTAGAAACAGTCGAACCATCTGTTCTGTCTGCAATTGTTGAATGAACTAAGCATCTACAACATTTCCTGTTTTCATATTTTCGGTATTTGCATTTTGGTCTTCCATTGCATTCTACATTTTAAGCAGCAGATAGTTGCATACTGACTGTCAAGGTCGGATGTGTCAAAATAATTACTGGTACCTAAAATTTCAAAAGTGAGCACAGATGTACATAAAAGACCTTGTTCAAGAGGATTGCAGTGATATCAAAGGTAAAGTCCATGAGACAGTGACAAACTTTGAGAAAATGTTAAGTCATCAATTACAATAGTGTTTACAGTCTTGTAGGATATTCAGGCTTCAGAGAGAGTTCAGCACATTACTAATATGAGGATATGCAAATAAATAAAAGGACTGAAATCTGTATCTTTTGATTTAGAACAATTCAGGACAATATAAGTAGTACTGTGAAACGGTGGAATAAGATTTATAGAAGTAGACAATTTGCAGAGATACTCTGGATTTCACTTCCAACATTAGAATCGTAGAATAATTACAGCACATAGGGAGACCATTCAGCCCAGTGTGTTCATGCTTCACTTTCTACAAGAGCAACTCATCTAGTCCTATTGACGTGCATTTTCCCTATAACTCAACAACATTTTCCCTTCAAATAACTACACAGTTCTCTTTAGAAATCCTCGATGGAGGCAGAAACTGTATCAATATTGAAGGTTAATTTGGTAAAGTGAATCAAACAAAGGTTTTGGAGGTTACGGAACAGGCTGGGTTTTATTTTAATATGCAATTTCTATGTCTAGATATTTTTTAAAGTCCCAAGAAATTGCTCCAAAGAAAATATGTTTTAAACTAAATTTTTCAATTAATCTAAAGAGGCATACCATGATTCACAGGTATAGTAGTCAATACAGAAAATTTTACTAATTTGAGTTCATTTCCCGACGGGTTGCAAATACTTGAAACAACAGACTGAAATCTCTTCCAACCTTATAATTTTTTTAAAAATACATAAAAATATAATTTTTCTTGTTTCCTAGCTGTCAACAAAGAAATTACAGTTTTCTTACTCTCAGTAATTAATTGACTAGTACTAATAAAAAAGAGCATTCATAATTTTTCATTCTCAGACATGCTTCGAATAAAGCTTTGAGAATTGTATTGCCAGTTTGTTTCAAAGTCTTTTGAATAATTGAAGGAAACTCAAATCCTTGCAGAATAACGTCAAACACTTCACTGCTTCAATTCAGAAATCAACTGACGCATTCTGGGAAATTCACCAGGCTCCACGCTCTTAGAATACACAAATATGTTTGGTAATCCTCCAACTGCATGAGGGCAACAATATCCAGTTGACCCATTACATTTTGATTCAGCTAAGGCTAGGAAGTAATAAAGTCTCCAAAGACTAATCACATTTCACTCAAAAACTTCAATAACATTATTCTAAAATATATAATGTCTTTAAAATGTCTCTAAAACATTTGGTTATTAAAAGCATTTTCAGTATCAATTCATGAGATATGAGCACCACAGTTAAGGCCAGATTTTATTACAGCCTTCTTGAACTGCTGCAGTTGACTTGATGAGGGTACTTCTACAGTGCTTTAGGGAGGACATCCCACAATTTTGACCAGTGTTAGTAAAGGAGTAATGATTTTTTTCATGACAGAATTTCTGTGATTTAGATGTGCTGGCATTCCTATGAACCAGCTGCCTTTGTTCCACTTGGTAGTGAAGACTCCAAGTTTGGGAGACATACTCTGAAAAAATCCAAATGTGATTTGCTGCAGTGCATCTTGCAGAGTGTATACACTGCAGCCTGATATACCAGGGGTAGAGGGAATTAATATTTACCATTTTGGATTGTGTGCAGATCAAACAGACTTCTTTATCATGGATGGTTGCATGCCTGTTGGGTGTTAAGGAGACCCACACAGGTGGAAATGATTGCATCATATGCTTGATATGCCTCTGGAAGGCAGAAGGTTTGCAGGGTAAATCACTTGGCACAAAATACTTAGCCTGATATGCTTTTGTCCCAAAAGAATGTGTGTGGCAGGTACAGTTTTAAGTTTCTGGCCAAAGTTGAGCCCAGGACATTGATCATGGGGAATTCAACAATGGTGATGCTATTGAATGGCACCTGTATGAAATGAATTTTTCTTGCCATCTATCAGCCCAACCTGAATGTTGTCCAGACCTTGCTATATGCAGGCATGACTGCATTATCTGAGGAGTTACAAGTGGAATTGACATTATAAAAACATCCCTACTTCTGACCTTAAAATATATGGAATGTCATTGTTGTAACAGTGAAGAAGATTGGATTTAGAATAGAATACCTACAGTGTGGGAACAGACCCTTTGGCCCAACAAGTCCACACTGACACTCAGAGCATCCCACCCAGACCTATCCCCTAATCTACACATGCCTGAACACTATGGGCAATTTAGCATGGCCAATCCACCTAACCTGCACATTTTTGGATTGTGGGAGGAAACCAGAGCACCCAGAGGAAGCCCACACGGACATGGGGAGAATGTGCAAACTCCACACAGACAGTTGCCTGAGGGTGGAATTGAACCTGGGTCCCTGGTGCTGTGAGGCAGCAGTGCTAGCAAATGAGCCACCATACCGCCCTCAATGTGGAATTCCTGCAGTTATGTCTTGGAGCTGAAATGAATGGACTCTAACAACTGCAATCTTCAGCACGTATGACTCCAGCCGGTGAAAAGTTTTTTTTTCCCTGACTTAGTTTATTAGGACTCTTTGATTATCCAAGTTTTGATGCGAGAGTATCCACTGTCTCCACCAAATATCAGATTTTTTTTCCACAAAACTCATTTTGAGTGATTGTAATTTTTTTCTTTAATTGATCATTTTTCTCACTGGTCCTTCAGGATTTATTATTTTTGTCAGGATTGTGTGTTACCATCCTATTAGACCAGTTACTGAGGTTGAAGAAGCTAAAGTTACAGCCTATAGAAATGAAACTACCTGACATCATTGAAATCACTGTAAAGATCATAAGAATATTACAGGTCACACTGCAATGTACTGCACATAAGAAATTTTAAAATGTATAAGCAACAGCAATCAAAAATCTTCACATATTAACAGGCAAGAATGTGTCAATCTCAACTTCATTAGAAGAGTTGAAGGAGATTGACAACCTCACAGAGATCAAATGGTTCGGAAATAACAGTGTCAAAACACTGCTCCAGGAAACAATACTGTGGCCGATCAGCCAGTCAATGTGCAATCAGTAGAAGATTTGAACGCGTTTCTTAGATGCATGGCAGAAGCCAAATAGATGAAAGAATCCAATAAGATTACTTAAATTAGCTTAAGAGAATTGTTTCATACTGTCAACAGAGAGAAAGCCAAATGCTGTGCAGGTGTGCAGTAGTAGAAATATTCAATCCTCTGTCTTCTAATACAGCGAGATTTCAATAACAACTGAAAATGTCAAAAAGTTTATTTTTTCACTCAAACAACCAGAGAGGGCGATTGAAGACATCCAATCTGATCAACAAATTGAGAGAGATAAGTTGCACATTATAGTTGCATGATAAAGTTCCATGTCTGCCAGGCCAATATCTATAGTTCAGGACATTGTCAAAAGAAGAAATTATCTGGCTTAAGTATCCGGAATACTGCAAAGATAAAAAAAACCTTTTCCAATCACAAAGCCATCACCGTTCCAGAAATCCAGGATACTATAAGAAATAAAATATTTGTTTCAACAGAGCAGCTGTCTTCCATGATGGGCAATTACAAAATTAAAGGTCCCTTGGATGAAGTTAGGGAGCACCTAGCTGAGTTATCAAGGAAAGGTTTATCTGTAAAGTGATTGCAGGAGATTAAAGGCCTTCCAGACAGGATATGGTAAGGTCACCATAGTCCCGTAGGGCTGCTGTCTTAGAGAGAAATAACTTGTGGGCAATTTACCCTGAGGGTCACCATTCTTCAGGTGAGGGGCAAGGTTGAGAAAGCGTGGTGTGGAAATTGAACCCACACTGATGAGTCACTCAGCATTCCAAACCAAGTATCCAGCCAAATGAGCTATCTGACACTTCCCACAGCCACTAACCTCTTCCCCCAACAGATAAGGACCATGTGTGTGTCACCAAAAAATGATCTCCTCTGGAAAGGATATCCAGGAGGTAAAATATTCTACAGAGGAGAAATTATCCACAGGCTAGTATTAAAGTCGAGCTCAGGTGGAAGGTCAACCATTCTTCCAATTCTGAGCAGAGTATATCCTGACAAAATTGTGAACTGCCCAGACCACCTGCATTGGTGAAGTCAGAGACTTGAGAGGAGATGGGCTGGTAATAAATTTAGAAATATTAATGTACAATGGCTAGCAATGGGAAGAAAAGCTTGAGGTCAGATTTGGTATAAGGTAATGATTAAGAAGGAGTTAATGTTCATGTTACATTGAACACCACCTGGTCTGATGATGTCACACAGTCTTTGGTAGAGGCAGTTGAGTTCTACCCCAGTACCCAAAGGGAGTGGATGTACTTTATTTGGTTCTTAAGTGTTCTTAACAATTATACCTGGCAGAAAGTATAAACTGTACTTGTTGTTATAATGCAATAAGCATTCGATGAAGATGAAGGCCCCTTGTGTTTAGACTCCAGTGGCCTATCACTAACTGCACTGGAAAATGGCTGGGACATTACCCAGGGTGGGCAGAGTCAATGTTAATTTGATGGGGAAAGCATTGGATCAGAATCTGCTGGACACTGGACTTTGAAGGTGCAAATACATTTCATTGTCCATTTGCAATACCTGCAGAGTTGAATGTTGAGGGTTCAAATGCTGATTGAAGGTTATTTACACCTTGCCATTAGTCATTATAAATTGAACATTGCTATCTCAGTGAGGTCAAAATTGGCTTAAAAAGAAGTGAATATTGGCCAAAAGTGTCCTATAACTTGTGAACCTTGCAAGGTGCTGCGAGAGGTGGAGACAATTGCTTAATCATCTGTAATGGTGGACTCTACTGAATGCAATAAGTTTCCTGATTGATGTAGATCTGGGATGAGAAGAAGTGCAGCAAGCACTCCATTTGAATGTATAATGTGTTTTTTTAATTCATTCACGCGATGAGGGGTGTCGCTGGCTAGGCAGCATTTATTGCCCCTTCCTAATTGCCCAGAGGGAAGTTCAGAATCAACCACATTGCTGTGGGTCTGGAGTCACATGTAAGCCAGACCAGGTAAGGATGGCAGTTTCCTTCCCTAAAGGGCATTGGTGAACCAGGTGGGTTTTCCCGACAATTGACGATGGATTCATAGTCATCATTAGACTCCTAATTCCAGATATTTATTGAATTCAAATTTCACCATCTGCCATGGCAGGATTCAAACCCAGCTCCACAGAACATTATCCAGGTCTCTGGATTAACAGTCCAGGTTTAATACCACTAGGCCATTGCCTCCCCGTTGGTCAATTAACTTGCGCAGCACCATCGCCAAGTTGGTGCACATGCTGAGGATGATGCTGACTGAATTATTGAGACAGAGGCCTAGTTCTTGGGGTGCTGCATGTCTCACTATGTGGAGAAGTGTGTGCAACCCTCATCTATGCTACCACTGATTATCTCAGAGCTAAGAACCTGTTTTGCTCCGTATGTTTCCAAAGCAGGTCATTGCCAGCAAGAGTCATATGCCCAGCCACAGGTGGGATGTTGATCACTGTGGCTGCTTTCCAAGAAGCCGAAGGCTGATACAGGAGGACCAAGGCTCACAGAAAACCCACGAGCAGTAGCAGACCACCATGGAGGAGCATCTTGTACAGGCACAGTTGCAGCTATAGTGCCTCTAGGATGTGTTGGGTTTACAGGAGGGATTTTTCGCCCCTTTTCCTGGGGATGACCAAGATGCAGCACCAACACAAGCTTTCTATGTCCCAGGACACTGTGATGGAACAATGCAGGATTCCAGAGCAGGACCCAAGGGCGCCAAGTGTGGGAGGCCATCCTCTCCCAGTTCTTCCTGTTAATGTGACAACTATGTTGAACTTCTATGCCACTGGCCCCTTTCAGGGAGCAGTGGGAAACCTATTTGAGATCTTTCATTCATGCACCCACAAATACTTGAGGACAATGGCTGAGGCCATCTGTGCAAGATCAAACCAGTTCATT